CCCCATCTCCCCTCCATGCCTGGCACTTCTCTCGTTTGCTTTTTCTTTCATCTTCTCTGTCCAACCTGGGTTCTATCCAGAAACTACTGCATCTTCAGGAGAAGCCTCGCCTCTCACTGAATTAATATCCAGGTTTTGTTTCAGAATTTGCCCTTCAAAATTGGGAGGAGTCAGTGAGGGTCTCATCAGCAGTGAGCTGCAGCATCAACTCCTCCACAACAGCACGAGGCTCTAATGTGGGTGAGTCCGTGGGACTGCAAGAACCTCCCCGGAGAGGAAAGTTGGGTAACACTTCCCTCCTGCTTGGCATTAGATGTGTTAAAAATCCCCTACATGGGTGGGGAAGGTGCAAACACCTTTGCAAAATATATCTAACGATGAGTGCTTCAGAGAAGAGCATCTGATAGTTTCTGCTTAAACACCCAAAAAACCCTTTGAGAGACAATGGCAAGGGGGAGAGTTTCAAAGTGGCACAGGCAGCGATCGTGCCCAACCCTCTCCCTTCCATAATGTCATAAACACCAAGTGACTTCTCCACATGAAAACACACATCTCATCTATTCCAGTCCTTTGAAAGGAGAGCTGTGCAAACGCCCTTGTGACTTGTGTGCTATCGCATGCCCCAGAGGCTCCTCCTTCTGTGAGAGTCAAGTCCTCAGTCTCATTAACTAGCCTCTCAATGTCTTCATGGATCTTCCCTGGGTCAATTTCCCACAATAAAATTCAGCTTTAAAACCCCATGCACTCATGATAGTCAACATTTACTTCTGTATAAATTAGCATCTTCAAGCATGACTCCTTCCAATCTTCTCAACCCGGACACTCCAATGCCTTGCAGGTGTTCCTCTCCTACCTGAGTGCCCTTCTGCAGATTTAGACGAATCACATCTGCACCTAAATGCATTCTTTTCCTTCTCACCATTAAGTTCCTAAGCTCAGAATCTGACAGTATTTATTGCTCTCTTCTTACTTTCTATCTGAAATCCATTACCAAGGGCTCTCAATTCTTCCTTACAAATGTTTCTTGTGTCTGTTTCTTCTTTGTTATTCCCATTGCTAACTGCTCATCTGGGGCCTCTTTCAAGTCTTCTTCATCTCATCTCTCACAAACTTTCCCACAACCTCGCCTTCCCTTCAGCTTACAAGTTCAACTATTCCAAGTCGAAGCAACTACCCCTCAGAGAGCAGAATGGAAGCTCTTTACCACTGGAGCAAACAAAGAACAAACAAAACATTGGCTAAATCTATTCCAACTCCATCTGGAAATACTCATCCATCACAATGCATTTTGCTTTTATGAAAGCTTTTTTCTCACTTTCCCATTCCTACATTTTCTAGATCTTCCTTTTCCTATTTTTTTCCCAACCATTTTTACTTCTGGAACGCTCACCAAGACTTGGCACCTGCAATGTTTATCACCGCTTAGTACCTGTCCTTTGGGCTCCACTCCAGTGTCTGCAGGTCCTCGATGGGTTTCGGTGCATTTCCTACCATCTGTTTTAGCTCTTGGATTTCATTTCGTCTGGCTGAATTTGTTTACAGGGTGTTCTCATTTCTGCCTATTGTCACTCTTCTGCTTAGAGGCAAAATCTCTTCCTGATTAACGTTTGAATCAATTCCTTTTGTAAAACAAACTTTCAGAATTATTTAAAAATTACAGAAAAGTTATAGCTTTCTATATTGTTCTTCTCTAACTTGCACCCAGCTTCCCCATCACTCACACCTGCATTGATACGGTGTCACACGTGCATCGTGGGAGGCTCCGCAGGGGCAGAACCATTTACTCTGCTGACTCAGTTCTGAGTGTTCTTTCATCATCGCGTCACTGGAGAAGCAGGACCCAGTTGTGACATTTATGTAAGGCTATTTAGTCCTAATTTTAGTAATTGACACATTCCTTCACCATTTGAATTTATTTTCTACTCATGAATGATCTGAACATAAAACGATAAGTTACTGATGTTCAACACTGACCACATAAATAAAAGGAAACATATTATTGTCAACTTAAATGAACTCTGGTATAATATATAATTAACTCCCAGCAAAGGATGAATCCCAGCTTTTTGCAGGCTTAGCAGGATATCAGTATTTTATTCTGTATTTTAGTCTCCTGGACCTTCTTCACTGTTAGTAGAATCCATCATATATCCAGTCAGTGATAGGAAAGTAAAGGCTATTGTTTTTACTCTGCTGGCAGGAATGTGGCCCACAGATTTGCAATTCTACCTGAGCACCTCCCACATATTCACCATTTAAATCATTTGTATTGTTTCTCTACTCTGTGGAGGGTACCTGGTCACACCTGGAATTACCATTCCAAGCAAATGACACAAATGCATAAAAGCAGAGGGAGGTGAGCTTTCCAATAGCTATTGATAACCTAGAAAGAGTGGAATGCCTGACATATTGTTGATAACATGAAGGAAGTAGTAGCAACAGGAAGATAAAAAAATTAAGTGTAAACTTTTAGAGGTATCCCGCCAATCATTTATTCTCTGAAGGAAACTATTGGTTTTTGGAGAAAAAAGCACAGAGGAGACAATGTCCTCAAGTTCATTTGCTTTTGTTTTCTTCTATCATTTTTTTAAAGATTTATTTATTTATGCATACAAGAATAAGAACTGGGGTACAGGCCACAGGTGCGGGGGTGAGAGGATTCACCAGAGACAGAGTAGGGAGAGGAACAGGTGGATGTACTGAAATCCACTGCTGAGGGGAGCAGCAGGGAGACAGGAGAGGTCTGCTGTACCACGTAAGTCATCTCCGGGGCTGGGGATCAAACTCATTCTGTAGCAGCTGCAGATAGTTTCATAGTGCTGAGACTTAGCCCCTTGTGCCGCCAGGGAGGCCCTGTTTTCTTCTATCATTAAAAATATCATTTTCTCTATTCTAAGTGCCAAAAGCATTTATTTGTGTTTCCTTAAATTATGCCATACCTGTGCTTGTCATGGGCCAAATGATTTGTTACCCTAGAGAATACAAACATATATCATCTCACCTTTTCCCACCATAGCAGCTAGTCTAGCAGCTCAACTATGACAGTAACTCCATGTATTTGTAGGAAAAAAATGACACATGAACATTGTAGTGTAAATGTAAAATATGCTCTTACATTTTTGACAGAGCAGTCTACTAAGAGAATATTTGTAAAAGCTCTGAGAGGCAATTTTGATAATAATACTAGATTCAAGATCCTGCAAACATTTTTATTTTTAGAAGAAAAAAACAAATTGATCAATAAATGGTGTTTGAAGTGTGGGATATCTGAAAAAAATATATTAAAATTTTCCCTATCCCATGTCAGACATCAAAAGAATTCCCCCAAAGTGGAAGATTTAATGAAAAATACATGCTAAAAAAATTTGCAGACACAGAAAAATTTTAACACATGTCACAGTTTTAACCATTTGTATTTTTTCCCTATCGAAAGTCATAAAGTGAAAGAGCCAAATATTTTTAAAAATAAATTTAACATATAAAATAAATTGACAAGCCATTATATCTCTATGAAAAATTTCTTACAAAGAAGGATTAAAAGGGGAATTAATAGCCAATATACATGGGCACAAAGGAAAGGAATAACATTACCCCAAAGAAAAATAAAATCAATGTCATGTCAGTGGTATTCAGTCTTACTAATGAGAACTAAGGATTTCAAGTATTTTTTTTTTAACTATTTGCCTCTCAGATTAACAAAGAATTATATGTCATTGAAAATATGTATGATATAGTAAGTCTGAACTCTTCAAAGTTGATAAAAGAAACCATGTGCTATTCAGGAGGTTAGCAATAGGTCAACCATTTGGAAAGCACTTTTGCCATATGAATTAAACCACAATTGAGCAAGTTGTACCAGAAAGTTCTACTTTTGAGAAATTATTCTACCAAGATAACAGGGAAATATGCATGTTATAGAATATTCATTACAGCAGTGTGCAGAAAATGGGAGACAGGAGGAGAGCAGCCTGGATACTCAGCCACTGATAATGAAAGGGATTTAGGGTTGATTTTTTAAAAATCAAATGAATTGATTTTAAGAAAACATGCAACATACATGATGAGATATGAATTCAGATTACTGCTGTGGGGAATTTACAGATTTACTTGTCTCACACCCTCTAAATGATTTCTTATTTTTATATGAGTTACTGAAAATGGACACTTTGCATTTCTCTACAACAGTTCTTCCATTTGCATACTTTATGTGGAGAATCTTAACTCTTTCAAAAGCAGTGGCTCAAGAATAACTATCACATACACTATTCATACTTTCTTCCTTTGGGACCTGATCCCTTAATAACTGTATTTATAAGAGAGCTGAATAAGATACATTAGTTCCAGAATCAATATATCAATGAACTAATTTTTTTCCTATCTCTGGCACCAATCATGTAAGAACGCATTGTAAGAACGCTGGTATTCACAAATATGAACATTCATTCAGAAGCCCTTACCATTTGAATGACTGTGTGATCTTGCACACACACACATTTTTTTTTTAACTTCTAAAATACTGAAAAAATAAGAGTTACTTCCACATAAACCCTTTCAAGACAAGGTCATAAAAAGCATATACAATCTGTTAGCTCAGGGTAAATAAAATGCTTGGCAGAAGGCCCAAAATTGTGGCATCCTGTCGAAGTGATTATTTTGTTTTTCGGCTTACTTTCTGCAAATATATTTATGATCCTTTGTTCTATTTGTGTCTAATGATTCCTAAGTATAGTTGACACCAAAAATAAAATCCAGGTCATGAACTTGAGAATATAATGGATCATTATTCTAGTAGCAAAAATAAGAAAAGAAAGTCACATGGCCAAACTCTAAGAAGACCCCACCTTTGTCCAACAAAGATGTGAGGAAAGTTGGAAGCAGCTGCCCTCAGAAGTCACCTCCTGGACAAACAGCATCACCCCCACCCTCCCTGCGTGGGCAGTCACTGGGGAGGCCAAGGGCCTCTATCTGATCTGTTACAGACAGTGTTTTAAGAGCTTGTGAATATATATTTCATGAGATTGTCATGGCTCTTGGAGGTAAATAATGCAGCAATCCCAGGAACATATATTTTTAGTAAATTTGGGTTTTTATGGGCTCCAGCAGACAGTGGTGCTCGGGGCGGAATCTGAATCTTCACAAAAAGATTTGTGAAGCTCCATCAACACGACGTGTGAAAGGGTTCGTTCTGGGAAAAAACAAAACAAAAAAAAAATTAAGAAGCACAACAAAAGTTTAAAAAAAAAAGTTAAAATTGTTCTTTTCAGCCCCACAATTAGAAGTTGGAAAAAAGTCAGTTTGGAGCCCCGGCTTCCAGTCAGGAGCAGGGGTCAAAGACAAACCGGCCTGGGGTGGGGGTGCTCAGGGGGGGCTCCCCTGTGCGCTGAGTCCTGGGCGCGGCTGCGGGGCCAGGTCCCCCTGCGGCTGCTCCTTGGGGAGCTGCTCCCCCAGGGCCCGAGCTCCTCGCGGGCCCGCAGGAGGGGGAGCCCCCCTCGTGCTGAACAAGTGCCCTCGTGTCCCGCTCCTTGGAAGGACCCGAGAGCCTGTGACCCCAAAGTTTCTGGGGAGCAGGACGCGCCCTGGGCAGGTCCGAGAGCTCGGTCGGCGCCCCGAGTTTGCGGGCACGAGCCTGACCCTTTTCTGGGCGCCACTTGGACGCAAAAGGGCAGCAACGGGGGTTATTCGCGGGGCACTTGGGGCGCTTCTGTGGAACCCCCATCCCTCCCGGGGAGAGCTGACGCGCTTTAGGCAGTGGTCAGCGTCTCGGTTTTCCAGGTTAGTCCAGAGAATCAACTCACACGAGGACAGCTCATCAGCAGGTGAAGGGATCCATCAAATTGGGCAGATCAGTGTCTTCCTGTAAAGGAATTTTAAAAAAAATCTATTAATCTTTTTTTTTTTTTCAGATTACACCTTGTAGCCGAAATGGTTTAAATTCCCTTTGCCAGGCTTTGCTTTGGTGTCAAAAACCAATTATCCACATTTGTTTGAAAAGGGCCTCCAAGGGCATCGCTGCCTGAGGGCAGATACTTCTTTTTACATATTGGCTAAATCAGTGAGCTGTAGCATGGGGTGCAGAAGCTGCTAGAACAGCTCTCTTATGTCAGACCCACCTTGAAAGAGATTCACAAAATATGACACAATGCCAGTCTTCTCATTCATTTTTTTTTATTTTGGAAATGATCGCTGTTTTTAATGAAAATATAATACTTTATCATGCGATGCACCCTGTGTTGCTACTTTCATGAGATGATGTTTTCTTCATCCCTGTTCCTTAATGTCTTGGTGGAAGGGAAGGGGGTTGACAGAAGCCCTTAGTTTTTCCCTTGGACACAAATGTTGCCCTGACCTTGGATTCATTTTGGGGTCACTTGGTCCTCGAAGTTCCTCATGATTCAGGCCTTTGACCGAAAGCTCCTCGAGGCTTCCTCTCTCACCCCAACACCATGCTGGATTCCCCCAACCTCACACCTACAACTTGCTGTTGTCCCCACTGTGGTTTGGGGACAGGGGTGAAGCTCCTGACTGAGAGCACTTTTAGGCCTGAAGTGACAGAATCACTGAATTAGTTTGGTCACATCTGAGTTGACCTGATTCAGCTTTCCACTCGCAGTGTGGCTCAAACCCCATGTGAAGAAGGGGAGAAACCTTGAAGCATGAGGGCAGAAACACCAAGAAGAAAACCTAAATATTACAAATGCAGAGTAGCATTTCAATGCAAATACCAAGACAACTTTCAGAGTTTGTTTTTTTTTTTTTTAATTTAACTGGGAAAATAATACTGATTTTTATGAAAATATAATATATTATGATGGAATCTTTGCCGTTGTTATTTTAATGAAAAATGTCTAGTTTAATTACTAATTTTAGCTAAATATGGGTAATATAACTCAGAAAGGCCAAATCTCTTTAAAGTCCTCAATATATTTGTAATGAGAATACGGAATAGTTTGAAAACTGCACTTAGTTCTGCAAATCTACAGAATAGGAGACAAAGATCTACTGTTTCATATTTGTATAGCATGTGTGTGTCGGTTGTTTTAAATATGCATGTAAGTAAAATATTGTAGGTTGTTTTAAAATGTCATTTAAAAGACTTTGGGGGGAGATGAATAAATGTTAAAATACTTGATTCCCTTCCTTCCCTTGATGCCAGCCTTCCAGGAAACTCTGGAGAAGCCAGACTTCCTTCAAGTTACTCCTGAATAAAGAGGCAAAGGTCTTTGTACTCCTTGGTATTTACAGCAGCTAGGAGTGCTCTTATTATTCCCATAATTATTTCTCCATGAAGACTTCTTCTTGGGCTGTGCTCTATACTGAACCCCAAAAATAAAGTAATGCATGAAGACATGGAGAAATAACTAAATAACTCTGATTTTTCATTATTTGAACTCTTTATCAAGCAAGATGCCACTTTAAGAAAATGTGAATTCCTATGGTGTATGATACAAATTTGATTTCTTTACCTCTAAGTAATTTATGGGGTTTTTCCCCAAACCAGATTATAATAAGCCTACATAGGAACGGGCTTGTAGTTTAGACTCTTGAACCCTCTCTGTAGTCTTAGGGTGTTTTGTTTAGATGAGACATAGACCAAAATTTAATATTTGATTATTAAGAAGAAAATAACTGCGTTGCAAGCTGTTGTACCTGCAGACATAACACCTTTGGTTCTTTAATTCTGTTTAAAGTTCCCCCAAGTGTTCCCCCTTTTGACTTACAATAGCTGTTTCCATCGGTTTGCGAACCGCTTGACAACTTTAAATAGATTTTTTTTTTAAAGTCAGAGTAATGATGACAAAATATATCCTCTACTACATTGTCTGTAATGTATTGATGGTTTCAGATATCATAATTCCGTACATTCATTCATGGTCAGGTACAGCCGTCTACCGTCTGGATGTTTGTTAATGTTTGTGCACCCAGTTGGCAGACTGTAAAATGATCACAGCCCAGGAATCTGTGAGTGTGGGCGCTTCAGCTATTTTTATCTTGATCTCATGAGATGACTTAATAGCTGGTAATATGGATGTTAAAATGAATTAAATAGTGTTTAAAATTCATGATTAGAAATACTGCCCTGTAGGGCCTCCCCGGTGGCACAGCGGTTGAGCGCTGGGTTGCGAAGCTGCCCGCGGCCTCTGCGGCGCCGGATCGATCCCCGGCTGCTCCCCAGCCACCGGAGGAGGGTCCCACATGGCGCGCAGACCTCTCCTTTAAGAAAATGTGAATTCCTATGGTGTATGATACACCGCCCGCTGCTCCCCTCAGCAGTGTACTTCGTCAGTCTGCCTGCTCTGCTCCCCGCTCTGGCTCTGGTGAATTCTCTCACCCTCCCGCGCTTCTGACTGTACCCAGTGCTTGTATAAACAGAACAAACAAACAAATAAATAAATCATAAATAAAAATAAAAATACATGCCTCTTTAAAAAAAAAAAAAGAAATACTGTCCTGTAACCCAGCTTCTTCTTGGGCTGTGCTCTATACTGAACCCCAAAGCTTTTCACTCATTGCCATGCGGGTCTTAGGGTCAAAGAGAATCCCTTGTAAACTCAAAATAGAATCTGGCTGCAGTTGTAAGGTTATGTGAGCCCTATTGCTAGAATATTTTGTGGTGCCTCTCCTGAACTTACCTCGAAAGGTGCTCTCCTAGCATGAGAAGGGCCAGGAAGCTGGAACTTCACTGGCTTATAGTGGAGGTGATGTTACCTGCTCTGAGCTAGTAAACACCAATGTCTGGCAGGATTTTGTCTGAATAAGCTTTTGTTATTTGCTGGGGGGGTAGGTCTGTGACCTAGACACAGTTACTGATACCCGACATGAACAGGCTGATTTTCAATGACCACGCTGCTTGAGGTAAGTTAGTAACAATTTTTTATTTAATTTCACATTGAATTCAAGGCTGTTTATGTGAACATAAAGGATCATGGAAATGCAGGTAACAGAAGGAAATCTCCATTTAGAAAAACACTGAGAAAAAAATAAAGTAATGCAAAATGCTAGATGATGATTTACAGGTCCATCTATTTTATTTCTGGAAATTTACATGATCAGAGGTGCATTTTATATACTATTTTATCTCATTTATTTGGCTAACTTATTTTTGTAAATACGTGATGAATCTGTTTTTAGTTTAAAACCCCACTATGTATTTCTTTTTATTCTCTGTGAACATGTTGTTAAATTGTCCTGAATGATCAAATCACAGTTATATAGATAAGCATTTATAAGTTGTGTTTACTGATATTGTAATTTCCACATGCATTACTGAGAGGATGTTGTAATTCAGTAGTAAAATAGATGGGCCAAAATACTTACATTGACAACTTTTTAAGTACTCTTGTAGAAATAATGTCTATTAAATTTACATCATATTTAACCCAAAAATTATTTCCTTAGGAAGGTAGTGAATTGTTAGTTAGATAATTATACATTTATAGTCTGTGAAATTAGTAATTAAATGGTAACTAAAATGTACTTACATGTTTATGCACCATAAAATTACAGTATTTTCACCATACAGTAATTAATTTATATTTAACATACACTTGTGTATGCTTGATTAAATGTCAATTAGGTGTCTATTTGTGAAAAATTAACCATTACCAATTTATGGAAATATTGTGATAAAGCTAACCATTTAGTTTCTTTTAAATTTTGTTGTTGATTTAAATGTCATCCTGCAATTCATTTTTTCCATGACTCTGCATGATTTCTTAAACATATAGAAACATTGATCTAACTCATTTCACAATTCAGGAAAACAACATGAACTCAAGTGTCTATATACAATGAAAAAAGTTTCCTCATCAATGGAATGTTTTTTTTATTAGGTAGATCAACATAGACATTTTAAGAGAAAATATATTATTAGTTCCATTTGTCACCATCTTTTCACACTCATTCTTTTCACTATATTTTCTGATATCTTAACGAGCAATGTTTGTGTAAAAATTTATCTTAAATATATTTTGCACAAACCTCAAATGAAAAGCACTTGCCTAAAACTTCTTATTTTTTTTTATCACTAACTGTGTACTATACATAATTCTGAAAAGCGAGTAGTGCTTACAGATGCATAAAGAAAATAACTGGGGTGATATATTACAGATTTGTAACGATATACACATCTCTGAGTCATGGCATGTCTGTGTGAAATATAAAGTGGCCCATAAATGTAGGGCCGAGACACGTGGGGTAAACTTTGTGGCATTTTGATTATAAAATTATTTCTCATTCGCCTCAGTACTAATGGGTCTCTAGTTAAGGTTTTCCCATTAAAAATTATACGCTCCTTTGTAGTAGGTTCCAGCTATCAATTAACTATGACAATGGCATTTTCACAGCAAAAAGTCAGCATCCCAGATATTAGGGAAATCATTCATATCAGAATGGAAGGCAGTATTCTGAGACTTTGGGGGGCAGACACGTGCACACACATGCACACACATGTGTGCACACACACATGTGCACACAGCAGGTCTGCAGGAAGTTTGTCAAGAACTGCCCCTGGGCTTTACCTGGGCGGCATCAGGCAGGCACTCCTTCCATCCGTGTGCTGTGAAGCGGGCAGGTGGGAGATTCTCGTTTTCAGGAAATCCTGGATTGACAGTGAGACAGACGTCCCCGAGAGTCTCAGCGGTTCAGCTGAACAATGATGAGGCTTAGTGTATCAATTAAAGGATGTTGCATTATCACAGACTGTAATGCCCCACGTTTCACATATTTTAACCATCTCGAGACGCCACATGCTCATGAAAATCAGTAAAACGTGGTCAAATCAAATGTGTCATTTAGACAGACAGGTGCCACAGTGCTCTCTGAATGTAATGCTCCAGTTTTTGAAGTTATTACATGGACAGTCCTTGGCTGCACACATGCGTGGCTAGAAGCCAAACACACACAAACAAAGCAACTTGATGTGCTCTTGCCGGGCTGTGTCTACAGGCCCAATGGGAGAGAAGGCCACGGCCCTGTGACTGGCACTCCAGGGGCCCAAGCGCAGCCTGACCAGTGCGGGCCGACCAGCTCCTCTGCCTGGGGCCCGCGGCGCGAGAACCGCGTCCATCTGGGCAACCCACTGGGCCTAGATGGTCAGGCCGCGCAGACCCAGCCTCTGCTGTCGTAATCAAGGTGAAAGCTTTCTGACATGGAGTGACATCAGGATCTGTGACGTCAGGGACTGTGACATGGAGGACATCAGGAACTGTGACGGTGGGAGACTGTGACATGGAGTGACAACAGGGACTGTGACATCAGGGACTGGAGTGATGTCAGGGACGGTGACAGTGACATCCCCAGCAGCGAGGTTCCAGGTTCCCTGCCCCACCAGCACACGGGGAGCAGAGCAGGGAGGAGGAGGGAGGAACATTAAGAGGAAGACCTGGAGGAGGAACAAGGGACAGACACGTGTGAGGAAGCCACGCTGGCTTCTGGGCCTGGGACTTGCACAAGGACTTGGGGGACATGGAGGAGACACCTGGAAGGGACGGAGACGTGGGAGGGAGCCCGTGGGGAGGCTGGCCATGGCAGTCTTTGTCTTGACTTGGGTTTTGATTTTGCTCCTGTCCTCCCAGACCCGCCTGGCCCCTTCTGCCCCGGCCCTATGGGTCCCCACCAGAAGGGGCCTTAGGCTTGTGCAGCTTTCTGGCCTCAGGGGCCCTGCTTGGGCCAACCCTGTTTGGCTGGGCCTTAACCCACGAGGGAACGGGTGATTTTGGGGACTTCAGAGGGAAATTATTTTAATATATTATTTTTCTTCTCTCTATTGCACACTAATTGTATTAAAGTTCTATTCATTGAAGGATTTATGCACTAGAGTGTGTTTGACTTTATGTGGCGGATGGCAGAACCGATTTAAAGCAGGCAGTTTTGGGGTTCCCGATGTGCTCCTTCCCCTGCCCTATAATAAAATCCCAACTGATTCTTATTATTTTACCAAATTTTCCAATTCCTTCTTAAAGCAAGCCATCACAGAAAATACTTGTCATCCTTAGTTATTAAATTATTTGAATGGCATAACCAGAAGCATTATAAAGTGGTGTGGGTGTGTGTGCATGAAAATAATTGTTTTTCTTTCCCTTCAGAAATAATTTTCCAGAATGTTGATAAATTATCCTCCATTTCTTTCCACTGTTGATTTATCCCTAGCCTTTCACCAAATGTGCCGATTCTGGGGTATATGTAAATGCACACATTGGAAAGACTCTGCCACTCATCACTATATAGAGATAAAATATATCAAAATGTCAGACTCAAAACATGAATGCTATGTCAAGAAATCAAAACCCTCATAGTCTATGTTGTGAAGTAAAATATTTAAGATAAGCACTTGTTACACAGGAAGAAACATTTTGTTTTCTGTTGAAAAGATGATATTGAAGACACTGAGCATGATTTCTTATAAACCTTAATGTAATTTCAGTGTTTGCTTAGATAGTATACAAGTCTGTTATCTGTCTTTCTATATTTATATCTGTATTCACCTTTCCACATATATATTCACAAGCACTTTATATAGGAGAAAACTATAAGTGGGTATCGGTGGTCTCTTTATAATAATTTAAGAGTTTAAGTTTATGTTGGTAGTTGTTCAACTGCTCTTAATAAAACTTCCTATATTTTCATTTATAAAAGTTCCCATCCTCCCAGAAAACACACAGATTCAGAATTACAACAAAAACATGGAGAAAATCAATACACTGTCACAAAATGTTATGGAGGATGAATTCATTTAACTACTGACAAGCAAAGCAGCAGCTTCTGGAAGATGATACTTTTGCAGGAGGGAGACAAGTACCCTGTTCTCGATGTCAATTCCAGGGAACAAAGCTTGTTGCCATCACCAAGGACATGGAGGTACATCTGAGACAGATCCACTGCCTTCCTCACCGTGATCCTCTTCGAGCATGTCTTCTATAATTACTAGAAACTGTAAATTGAAGAAAAATAAATGGCAGAAATAAAATGATTAATGATAAGTACTCATGGAAACCCAGAAAATCACTTTACTAGGTGGGAGCACAGATAGATACCCTGGTGTAGTGGTTCTAAACATCATCTTTTAATGTTTTCATAGATCGACGAAAGCAAGGGAAAATGACTCTTTCATTTCCTGTTGTCACATGAAATTCTTCAAAGTCATGGGAACAGAAAGTCATAGGATACAGAAATGTATCCTACCTCTGTCAATAACAACACAAAACAACAATGATATCTCAGTGACATCACTGCATACCAGTTTTTATCCACTTACACAGGACAGCTGTGCTCCATTGTGTGACTCAACAATCCACATCCATTTGTCTAAACCAATTTATCATAATTTATCAATTTACCAACTTATCATAATTCTGATTCCAATTTATCATAATTCTGATTCATTGTAATGGTGATGGAGAGATAGATAGGAGAACTCTTTGGTTTTCCATTGTCACAGTCAATAATGGGACATATTTTCACATTGTATTGACTATATAAATTCCACCCTGCGAACAAGATAAGTACCTGTACTTAAGAGGAAAGGAGAAATAGGTATTGGTCAATATAAATAATGCCTATGACAGTTCTAAGTGTCTGATAGATGTGTAGTAAATTTGGGCTATAACTGTTCCAGTTCACCCTCCAAAATGACTTACCGTAAACCTGCAGATAGTAGTAACTAGATAACACATTTGGGTAGCATTGGTACATTCCAACATGATAAAGTTCTTTTTATTTATATTTGATACATAAAATAATGGAAATAATATTTGAAAGAGGGAAAGTAAACATCTTGAGGGAACCAGCCATAAACCCAGAGTTCAAACAGAATCCATCAATGAAAGGGTGGTAGGATAAGGATGAGCTTCAAGAGCTAATAAAAGACCAGGAAAAAAAGAAAACACCATCAAGACTATGATGACACACTAAAAGCACCACTAAAGTATGATAAAATGTAATTAAAGAAAAAAGTGAGAGATGAAACAAAAGAAACAAAAACAAAGAGAAGGAACAGTGAAATAGTGATTTTTGCAGGCAACTAAAAAATGAAATCCAACTGCGTGCCTCTTTCCTTGGACAAGCGATTGAACTGATGTAGGAGGAAATGCATTAAACATGAAATCTCCCATGAAGAGGACAGTATAGAGAGGAAAAGTGCCCCCTCGGGACAGCCTTTGGGAGAGTCCAGTAGACAGAGGGCACCAGTCAGTCACATCAAGGTGCCATCTTGGAGAAGGGACTTCCAGCTCCCTTCAAATTCTCCCGCCTGTTGCTGGTGGAAGAGATGAGTTGGTCCTGCCCAGCTCTACCAAAGTGCAGATTTGGTGGCAAAATGCATACTTATAATTCAAATCATAAAATTTTGAGTCAGTTTGTTATACAGCAATAGATGACCACATTTTGGGCATTACATATTATATAGTGACTTCTGTAAACGTTCTTTAAATATCAATTGCCCATGGGAGAACATTTTTGCACCCAACACTAATGATAAAGGACTGATCACAAAAATCTGCAAAGAGCTGATGAGACTCAGTAACAACAAAGAAAATAATCCAGTCAAAAAATGGGCAGAAGAGCTAAAAAGAAACTTCTCTGAAGAGGAAATGCAAATGGCCAAGAGACATATGAAAAAATGTTCAACATCACTTGCAATCAGGGAAATGCAAATCAAAACTACCATGAGATACCATCTCACACCAGTGAGAATGGCACATATTAAAAAACTAGCAACAACAAATGTTGGCGAGGATGTGGAGAAAAAGGAACTCTTCTGCACTGTTGGTGGGAGTGCAAACTGGTCCAACCACTGTGGAGAGCTGTGTGGAGATTTCTGGACCTACTAAACATAGAGCTTCCATATGATCCAGCAATTCCACTCCTAGGTATTTACCCAAAGGACACAGAAACATCAATTCCAAAGAGCACCTGCACCCCTATGTTTATAGCAGCACTGTTTACAATAGCTAAGCTTTGGAAACAACCCAAATGCCCAAAAGTAGATGACTGGATCAAGAAGATGTGGTACATATATACCATGGAATATTACTCAGCATTCAAAAAAGATAAACACATGCAATTTGCAGCAACATGGATGGCGCTGGAAGGGATCATGCTCAGCGAAATAAGCCAAAAAGAAAAAGAAAAATACCGGATGGTCTCACTCATAGCAGGGATCTAGAAAACTTAAATAAGGGATTAGGAAAAAGAATATAAGAAAGTGAAAATCAAAATCAACAAAAAACTATGAACCAGAGACACTTTTTGGGGGGTGGGGGGCGGGAGGGGAAGGATTGGGGTCAGAATGGGGCGTTTGCAATTGTATGGGGGAATATAAAAATAAAATTTAAGATTAAAAAAAAAAATATCAATTGCCCATAAGTGGATATTCATTCACTGGGAATTGCTGCCTGAGGACATGGAACAGGGGCTGGGTTTGGTGGACTGCGTAGGGCATCTGCCTACTAACTTTGTAAATATAATGGAAACCAAGTTGGCTATATGGCTTGCTGAAATGAATGATTCACTTTTATAGATAAGTAATAATGATTAGTACCCACCAGGGTATCTATTTATTTTTAAGCAAGCTGAACTCAATAATGAATGGAACATTTCAAGCAAAATAAGTGAAAATGAAGACACCGTAGCACAGGAGAGGATACATGTTCAGAATGTCGTCTTGTGAATGAGTTAAGTATATCAGAAACTACACTAAAGTACTTAATATTACATTGCATATTACATTAATATCACTAATCTTTTTTTCTGTTTGATTTATTAATATCAATATCTATATATAAAAAATCTACAATAGAAATAGGATAATTAAAGTAAAATAATATGAAGATTTTCCCAGGAGAAATAGTTTGACATTTTTTACAAGAAGAAAACATGAAAAATTATACAACTTAAAAATAAGCTAAAAGAAAAATTGTAAATTACCTGATGATTTTACACACATCTGACAGTTACACTAGGTAAAGTAATAATACGGTTCTCTTAAAAGTCAGAACTCTGTCAAAATCTGCTTCCACGGGAAATTATTACATTTAATGGGAAATTCATCAGCTCATATTTTCATATTGCTTAGTAATGTCTAAGATATCTTGCA